TGATGATGATGATGATGATGATGATGATGATGATGATGATGATGATGAGTCTCCAAGGTCACCTTCTAGTGAAAAGTCTTTCTGACCTTTGTTAGGGTAGTTCTTGAATACATTAAAGCCTTTCCAGCTGGGTAGAACCTGTCAGACTTGTGTTCCACTGACTTAGCTTTTGAGAACCCAGGTCAACAAGGAGGCACCAGAGTAGAACTTTAACAGATAAATAATAATAGTTGTTCATGTTAGCAGTATAGAATACTTTAAGGTTATAGTAAGGCCTGTAAGGCAGATAGAGTGGCTATTATTATCTCTATTTTACAGATAAGGAAAATTGAACTGAGGGAGAGCTTAAGGGACTTGTCCATGATCACAAAGCTAGTACATCTAGAGATTCTAACCTGTGTTTCCAAATATATCCAGCACTCTTTTCATTCCACCTCTATGAAAGCCATGGTCCTAAAAGGACAGTTATGTTTTCTATTCTTTAAGATTATTACCTGTGTTCAGCCTCTTATATTCTTCATTTTTCACAAATGAAAGAAATGAAAGTAAGTCGAATTGTCTACATCATCCTCCTCTTGTCTGATGGCATGAAGGATTTCGTAGAAACAAGTGCAAGCCTTTTCATTTCTGAAATAACACATTCTAGCTTTACATTGTTTTATTGTTTTTTTCCTTACCCATTCATGATCCTTTTCAGGTTTTAAAAATTCAATTTGGATTCTTTCTTACAAATCAACTTCTTTGGGTCAGAGATAATGTTTTGTTGCTAATATGTACTCAGGGTCTTAGGTAAGTATTGTAGTTCCTAATGTAGAAATCATAGGGAAAGGATCATAGAACTTTAGAGATGGAAGAAATACAACTCCAATCATCTGCTCCATTTTTCTCATTTTACATATGAGGAAGCTAAGACCCAGAAAAGAGAAAAGACTTGGCAGAGGTCACATAGGATACCCTGTGGCAGAGCTGGGATACAATTTAACATTGCATATTTAATTGTCAATATTATATTTTCAGGTTTTTGCTTCTACTATTCATAATTCTGGGTCTCAAAGACATATGCATTTTATTGAGAAAACCTTAAACATGGAGGTAAGTTTAAACTTAAGTGACAGCTTAAATTCATTTTCTTTAGATCTCTGTTTCATTCAAAATTCTAAAAAGGGGAAGAATATAGATGAGAGTCTTCAGAAAGGGCAACGTACATATTGTAGGAATGAATAGTTAGCTCTTTCTGCCATTTTGGGCCTGAAGCTACTTTACCTATGCTCTCAAAGGGTAAAATTCTAATATTCTCTGAGCAAGCACTTCCTCAATGACTACTCTGTGAATGTTATTATAAAACATAGTGGAGGAGAAACCCAAAACTATCCCTCTTTCTCCCGTTGTACCCAGAAAGAATTGTGATGTCCATAGTGTGAGTACCCGTTCTCCAAGGCAGATTCCAACCCGGGGTCTTCCTGGCTCCAAGTGTGGTGTTCTGGCTACTATACAATATTTTTGCTTTGTTCAGAGCATCTCTTTTTATTTGCCAATTTATTCCAGATAGATTGGGTATCACTTTCATTATCAGCTTCAGGCCAACCAACAAAGTGACTTATATCAGTGCTCCTTAACCTACAATTTCATTCCGGAGAAAGAATTTAGATGAATTACAAATTAGTTGTAATGAGATGGTTTTCTTGACTTGTGATATGTTCTTTGAGAAAGAGAAAGTGATGGATTTTCCCTACATCTGCCAAACTCCATCTGATCAATTCCTGTTGTGTCCTTCAAGGACCCACTCAAATATCAGCTTTCTCTAATTATTTTCACCTCAAAAAGCTGCACAAGTTGTTTTTTTTTTCCTTCCTCTGAACTAAGGAGGAGTGCTCCACATTTCTTTAATACAGTTTTTACATTATATCTTATGTTGTAGTTATTTGTGTTCATGCCTTCCTTCCCCTGTTGGCTTGTAAACTCCAAGAAGCAGAAGCCTTGTCTTCCTCTTCTTTAGATCCCCAGTGTGGGACATAGAGATCTGAATGTAATGTTGTATTGAATGGAGATGAGAAGTAAATACGTTCATTCATCATTGACCTTGTGTTTGAATATTTAGATTTTTGGATGTTTTGCTCTGACTGAAGTAAGTCATGGGAGTAATACCAAGGCTATTCGAACAACTGCCCAATATGATCCCACCACTCAGGTTAGTATTACTGCATGGGTCTTTAGGTTCATAACATAAAAATGTCTAGTTGAATATTAATTGAAGGCTTTTAAGGTCAAAATTATGTTAACAATTTACATTAATAAACATACATGTGTTAGTTCATCATGAAGAGAAATAAGTAATTAAGAAATAGAATATATTTGGGTATCAGAATCTGTTCACAAGTATGGATATTATATTTAGGAATCAGAATCTGTTCACAAGTATGGATATTATATTTGGGAATCAGAATCTGTTCACAAGTATGGATGTTTTCAAGGGAATTTTTAGTAGTGGTGAATATGTGTTGGGGGAGCAAGAAAAAGTCATCTTTTGAAGTCAACTTTCCTTTAAGATTTTCCCAGTAGCCAATAGCAATACAAAAGATATCAGTGTTTAAGAAAGATCATGAGGTGACCTTTGTCTCAGAAGCAGATGATTTCAAAAAGCTATGCATCTTTAACATCATTTGACTCTGCTTTGAGTACACTCTGTGCAGAGGCAGTAATCTGTGCAGCAAAGCTGCTTTGCAGGTAGTCCTCGTCATCCCTCTTTGCCCAGACCACTCCAAAGAGCTTGACAGATTCCTTTGGTCAATGAAGAAGTTTGTCATAGGATGACCTTGCGACTTTGTGCTGCGATGACAGCTGTCTCCCAGCTTCTCCGTGGTTAAAGGTGGGGCATGGCTCAGAATGTTGAATTTTACACAGAAGGCTACTAGCTAACTTTCATAGCAGGCTACCTACTGACTGAAGGCTTTGATATCCCAGGGCCAGTCTGGCCACTGACAGCCCTGAATAGCAGGAGCCCACAAGAGGAAGCCTGTCTTTAGGACACATAGATGAGAGGGCCTCCTTGTCCCCCACCAATGCCATGTAGTTAGCTGTACCCAGCATAAAGGTACAGGTCATCTGATGCTCTATTCTCCATACAGTCAGCGTTCCCTAATTAACTCCATTCAGATACTCAATGACAAATTCCTACAAATGCTCACTTGCAGTCACTGTCTTCTGAGGAAGCGCTTCTCAGTGCTAAGGTAGTATTATTTCTGAAGACAACACAGCAGCAGATGAACATTCAAGATTATACTTATAAGGACACTCTCTAATATATAGTTTATAGGAATCCATTTTTCTTTAAACATGGAGACTGTCAGTGGAACGTGTCAGGACTTGAAGGAGGCTTCAGTGGGTGTGTTCCTTCTATCCACATAGATCCAAGTTACCCTTTGTGCCTTAGTAAGTGGTCTTTGTGAGTTGCTATAGCCAAAAAAATTACTCATGCATCTTACTAAATTTATCTGGGCTAGTCCTCAGATAACAGAAATAATGTATGTGGCTGGGTCTGTATTTGAAGCTTCTAGTGAGCCTTTGTAAGGTCCAAATCCATTGTCATGACCTTTATGAACCCAGGGTCCTTTCCACAACATGGTAAGGGCATACAAATAGGGCTTTTGGCCTATGCTATTTCAAGGCCAGGGCTATATTAGCAATAAGATTAATGGCCCCAAATGTGTGCTTTTATACAGATTATCATAAATATGTAGTCATTTTAAAAATTTGCAAAAAGTATCATTAGGTCATTTGACCTTATCAGCAAAGCATTGTGAAATAGTGCATTTAAAAGGGAAAATACCCCAATAATATATGTTCAGTTTCCTTACTGGTCCTTTTTGTACTGTGTAGGAGTTCATCATCAATTCTCCTGATTTTGAAGCTTCCAAATTTTGGATTGGTAATATGGGAAAGAACGCCACTCATGCAGTTGTATATGCCCAGTTGTATACCCCAGGAGGCCAGTGCCATGGATTGCATTCTTTTGTTGTACAGGTAAGAAGGTATTATTTACATTTTTCTAATTTTTTTTTTAATAAACAAAAATCTTTCTTTCCCTCCTACGTTTCCCTTCTCCTCTACTTTAGGGAGAAAAACAAACAAACAAGGGAAAAAAAAAAACCCTTTCACAATGTACAAAGGTAAAGAGAATTATCTGGTAGGTGGCAAATTCAAGCAAAATTAATTTCTCACATTGGCCATATCCAAAAAATATAGGTCTTAGTATGCACCCTGAGTCTGTCATACCTCTGTCAGGATGTGGGCAGCAGGCTTCATCATCAGTCCTCTGAAATCCCAGTTGATCATTAAAGAGTCCTTAAGTCTTTCAAAGTTCTTTCTCTTTATGTTGTTGTAGTTATTGTATAAATTGTTCTAGTAGTGCTTGTTTCATTTTGCATCAGTTCATACAAGTCTTTCTAGGTTTCTCTGAAACTGTCCCCTTCATTCTGTTCCATTCCATTATGTTCCTATGCAATAATTTGTTTAGTAATACATTCCCCATTTGACAGGTGCTCCTCAGTTTCCAGTTCTTTGCCACTACAGAAAGAACTGCTATAAATATTTTTGTACTAATGGGTCCTTTTCCTCTTTCTTGATCTGTTTTGGATATAGATCTACTAGTGGTATCACTGGTCAAAATGTATATACATAGTTTAGTAACTTTTTAAAAAAAATAAATTTATTATTTATTTATTTTGAGTATTCATTTAGTAATTTTTTGAGTTCCAAATTCCCTCCAGTCCCATGTTACCAAAAAAAAAAAAGCAATAAAATAAAGAAAGTAAAAATTTTATTTCAATCTGCATTTAAACTTCATCAATTCTCTCTCCGGAGGTGGGGTAGATAGCATTTTTTCATCATGGGTCCCTTGGAATTTTATTAGATCATTGTATTGATCAGAGTAGTTAAATCTTTCACAGCTGATCATCACACTATACTGCTGTTACTGTGTACAATGTTCTCCTGGTTCTACTCACTTCACTTTGCATCAGTTCATGTAAGTTCATGAAACCATCCTGCTTGTCATTTCTTATAAGACAACATATTTCATCACTAGTTTAGTAACTTTTTGGGCATAGTTCCAAATTGTTTTACACAATGGTCAGACCAATTCATGGATCTACCAGCAGTGCGGTAATGTGCCTGTTTTCCTACAACCCTTTCAACATTTGTCATTTTTTTTTTGTCTTCTTTGCCAATCTGATGACTATGAGAACCTCAGAGTTGTCTTAATTCACATTTCTCTAATTATTAGTGATTGGCAACATTTTTTATGTGACTTTTGAGAACTTAGATTTTTTTCTTTGAAAACTTTGAGTTCGTATCCTTTTATCTTTTATTATTTGAGCAGTTTTTTAATTTTAGAAAACCATAGGCTTTCAGAGCTGGAAGGAATTCTAATTCCTAAGGTGATATCTCACCCTTATATAGTCTTGTGGTTACAGAATGCATCCACATCTGTTTTCCAGTTGAAAGGTATTATACTCCCCATAATACATATAATGAAATTGAGACTCTGAAAGGTCTCAAGATCATTACCTAGAGTTACATAATTGGTAAGTGGCAAATTCATAATTTGAACTTAATCTGACAAGTATTCAGTATCTGTTATGGGCTCAAGGCATCACCTTATGATCCTGATATCTCTCCTGTGGACACTCCAGCTTATCAATAGCCTTCTGAAACTGGTACTGAGAACTGAACAAATAAGGTCTGATGAGGACAGAATATAGTGGTACTGTTACTTCCTTCTTCCTTCAAGCAAAGCCTCTCAATGCAGCTCAGTTAGCATTTTTGGCTGCCAAATCACCCTGCTCATTCATATTGAGCTTGCAGTCTACTAAATCCTGCCCAAGATCTTTTTCAGAGAAACTACTACTAACTGTGCCTCCTCCATTTTTTTTGTACCCAAGTGTAAGACTTTAAATTTGTTCCTATTGAATTTCATCATATTAGATTAAGCCCAGTGCTCAAGCCTAATCAAAGTCTTTTGGATCCTGACTCTTTAATCCAGTGTATTAGGTATCTATATCAGTTTTGTGTCATTTGAAAGTTTGAGAATACCATCTATGTTCCTTACTTAGGCCAATGATAGAAATGTTAAACAGCATACCATCAGTCACAGATACTTGGAATACTCCACTAACGACCTTCCATGTTGACATTGCATCATTAACAGTTAACTGTCCTTGAGTCTGGCCATTTAATCAGTTCTGTATCCATTTGCTTGATTGTCTGCATTTCTGCATCTTCTCCACAAGAACAGTATGAAATACTTTGTCAAAAGCTTCGCTAAATTTAGGTAAACTACGTCCATAGCATTCCCTCCTCTAGTAGCATCCCCTTCCTTGCTATTCCAGTAAAAAAAAAGGAAATGAAGTTAATCTGAATTAACCTGTTCTTAATGAAACCATGTGGGTTCTTGGTAATCACCACTTCTCTATCTAGATGTTTACTGACCATCTTTTTAATAATCTCCTCTAGACATGCAGAAAAGGTATTCTAGGATAGAAAAGAGTGTGAAGTTGGACTGCAGGGTTGAGACTGAAGGGAAAAAGGTGAAACCAGTGGAGGGCAAGGGGACCACCAGAACAGGGAAAGATGGAAAATCCAAAGGCTGTAGCAAGATTGAGAGGATGAATAGTCAGGCTAGGCAGGGTGTGTTGGGGGAACATGGAAGGGTAGGAAGCTATGATTAGAGAAATAAATTTTAGAATTCTTAATCGTACAAGTAGAACAGTTATCGGTGTTAGTAACATCTGAGACATGACTTTCAGTGGGTGGCTGAAGTGGAGTGAGAGT